TTTCTTTGTATTTGAGTCTCCAAATACGGGACTTACGCAGACAACAGGTAAGAGGAAGAGGAAAGCAATCAGGTGATAGCATATCCCATGTTAACCAATGGTACTGAGCAACTAAAATCCTGTTTGAAAATAATACAAATTATGTTATGCCAACCTCAGGTATCAGTGGAGTCAGAACCCTTCCAAGAAGCTAAGCTTTTAGGGAGAACATCCCCAGTGTTGTGTGTCCCTCCAAGCTGTAGAATGGACCCTGGTCCCTACTGTAAGATTTATTTTTCCTTCTGTCTGGATACATTTACATCTTTCCTGCTGTAACCTTGACCTGTAGCTAAACTCCAGCGAGGGCTCCTAGGAAGATGGACAGATGTGCAAGAATGTGGAGGCTTTCTGCAGTATCATCACCTTTGTCAAGGAGGAAGACAGTCTTTTGAAACCTCTTGGATACTCATTCATAAATTGATGCTGTTGTATTAATGAAGTAAGTTCAAGTTTAGTCTTCAATAGCTCCATAAAATAGTCATAGCACAGTAGAGAGATAAAAAAAAAGCAAAAGCCCTGTGTACATGATGACTAAGAACTAAAAGGAACTAAATCAAATAAATGACATCTACTTGAGAAGCAGCCATAGCTGAAAAATGCTGACATAGCTATAGCTAATATTTTCTGGAGGCATTTGGTTAGTTTATACAAATAGCTCACCTGCTTCTTCAAGGGACTATAAGAACATTAAGCAACTACTTTGTATATTTTATCCTCTAACGATCCATTGGGACTCATCTTCCAGTTGCAAACCTTTATACATTCAGTATGCAGGGGTCTTGGACTGTACAAAATCTCCTCTCTTTATCATACTATGATTTTCTTTTCCTCCAAGCCATGCACGCTGTGCTGTATTCTTTTTGCTCTGATAACCTTGAGAGGTGCTGTTAGGCAACTAATGACTTAAAACAGGGAAGATAATCATGTGTCTATTCCTGAGAATATTCTGTAGAGATTCCTTTTGAGATAGTAGCCAAGAGTTATGAATTCCTTGGTCATGCAGACCTTGGAAGCATCCCAGTTGTAACTGGAACACAATAAAACTGAGAAGCAAAGATTTAATTGAAGATGCAAGGTCTTAGCAAGAATGGAATGCTGATGAGGGAGGAAAGCCCACAGACTGCTCTCATAATGTTGCTTGTAAACAAAAACAGAGCAGGATTTGATCAGGTGTATCGAGGGAACATTTTAGTCTTCTTCTGGTAGTTTTTTGTGTGCAGGTTTGGAAGCCCTAGGGGAAAACTGTTCATAAGAGCTACTGACCACATGGGCAGGCAGGGCATGGTTTAACTGGATACTCCTGACTCATGATTTAATGGATCTGTATGACCTTCAATCCTACGCCTGGTGATTTCTTGCCCTTGCCACTGAACATCAAACAACTGAGCCAGTAAAACAGGATTACTTCCTCACAATCACTGAGCCAGTAAAATATCATACAGAATAACAGAGGATTTATTTATTCTCTCTGCTTGAATGATTTGCTGTTAATAGCTGCAGCTGTCACAGATAGGCTTATAAATGGGCTTGGAAGTTCAAGAGCCTGCATGCTGGAATGCCTGGCTTAAGCAAGCATGCAAGAATGTGAGCTGTGATCTGCTCCTGCTGACACAAACTGCAGGAAGACAGACATCTAAAAAGTTATTTTGCTATTAGATTTCCTTTAGTTCATTGCTACAGTTATCAGGGGGCTTCTTTTACTTGGAGTTCAATCTTGTAGGAGGGCTGGTGCCAAGGAACAAGGAACATAGATTTGGGAGCTCTGGAAGCTACTAGACAGCTGAAGATACCCTAGGAACAAGGTGATACAAGCAGCAGCAAAACAAGTGTACAGTGCAAGGGTATATAACCATCAGCAAGAACAGGTGGATTTCCAAACTATTCAGTGCTTGGTGACCTCCGCTGAGACATGATGAATGTTTGAGGTGGGCTGACTGCAGTTTCTGGCACTAATTTCCCATACACAGGACCCTGACTAACTTAGGTATGCACGTACAGCTTTGGCTGTAATCCCATTCAAAGTACCTCACCTATTCTTAATGGCTGTAGTGGGATCGCTTATTGGAGCTATGCCACAGTACAGGAAAAAAAAAAAAGTGGATGATTCACGGGGCCAAAAGACTGAGTCATTTAAAATAAAACTTCAAAGGCATTTAGCTGATTTCTATATTTAACTGCCTAGTAACAAAGAATTTGAACAGCCAGCCTATTAACTAAGAAGTAGGCACCCTCTTGCAAGCACTTAAACCTTCAGAACAGTTCTGGTCAGTTACCTGAAAAGCACCTGCTCTCAGGAGAGGACTCTCTGCTCCAGATTATGGCTGAAGATTGGTACCCAGACTTTGCAGTAAGGAGAAATGTTGCATTAGATCCTGTTGATCAGTTCTTGGTAGCTCCTTGCTAGAGAATTGTGGCCACAGCTGAGCCACCTAATCTTCATTTTGTGTTCTGTAAGTACTGACTGGATTAAGCCATGACTGCCCTGCTCCTCCCCTCTCCTATAAAATGCTGTTTTTCTGTCAGGAACTGTGCTGTAGGAAGAACTATGGTGACTTAGGTATTGGAATCTGAGTCAAGGACAAACCAGCGTAACATGCTTTCTCTCATGCAGCTATGGCAGGCTTGGCTCAGCTAAGCAGACAAGTAAGCAAACAAAAATAGACTGAACAATGAACTATGGGACTTCTGACACTATTCAGCCAATTTCTAAATCATATGAGTATAATGGACAGAGCTCTGCACCTTACAGGTTACTGTTCCATTCTCTGTGGGACAATGGACCTTCTACTAGCAGGACAGCAAATGCAGCTGGCAAGCATCCTACATTAAAGATGAAGAAAGATGATGCCATTTACCAGGCACTTCAATGTGGAATCAATTTAACCTGTATCATTTGAATAAAAATAACAGACCGGGTTTATCACTGGTCTATAGCCAGTTTCAGGTAATTTCAGTTGGCTTTGCTTAACACTTAGTGAAAAAAAAACTAACCTTGAAATAATTCTTCAGCTGCTGTGTTTTGGACATATGCACTTCATCAGCATAATTTAGCTAGAATACGGCAACTTGAAGGGCAGTATTTATTGAAATACCATGCCTACAAGGAATTAAGTATGACTGCACCTATGAAAGATGTCAGAAAATGTCTGGATTTTGAAGCACCTCAGTGAATATTTTATCAAGATTTTCAGAGCATGTAATATAAATGAACACACAGTTGCCCTACCTGTTAAGGCATTAGTGGTGGTTAGTGTAGCAGAATCGTGCAAGACCAACGACACTTCTTGCCCAGGAAAAAGAGACTGCTTTCACATCTGTCAAGAGCAGATATTTAAGGGTGGACAGCTACCCAAACCAGAAAAAAAAGAAGCCAACAAACCTATAGATGACTGTATAAACCTTGCCAAACCATTAACAGCTGTTGGCAGGGTTAGGAAATGTGAAATTGGTTTTGTGTGGTGGGATTTGGTTGAAACACAGTGATGTAAGGCAAACTGACCTTGAAGTTTACAAGCATGTCCTCTTCACTAGCTTAAAAGAGCCAAAGTAACAGAGGAAAGTGAGGTAAGGACACCACGGTTGGGCCTCAGCAGGTATTTGGGGCTGCACCTGTGTGTATTTGCAGAGCCTGACACTAGGGCACTGCAAAGGCCAAAATCCTCTCCGGAGCACTGCAACTCATGTGCCACAGATCATATGCTCAGGCAGACTCCTTTCTCCCTCCCAGTTTGCTGGAAAACATCCCTGGAGCTGAGTGCTCGCCTGTCCCGCAGTGCTCTTCTTACAGGGCTCTTACTCTTCTGAGGTGCTTGGTTTACCCATTTGTTGTAAAAATACAACTCCTGTTGGTGTGGTGACAATGCACTGAGCCACTTTGTTTTGTAAATATCTATCTAAATTCTTCCAGGCATGCTTTAATTATTAAATCATAATTTAAAAATAAAGTTTCTCATTGAGCTGGCAGAATAAAGAAAGAAATGTTCCAAGGAGAAATGTATCCGGCAGCAAATTTCATTTTGTAAAACATTAGGTTATTCTTTGCGGCCTCTAGAGCTCATAAGAAATGTAAAGATTTCTTTTGTTTCCCCTCTTCAACCAATAGCATTTGCTGCCATTAATGATGTTATTCAGGTTACTGATTGTAATTCCTACCCAGACCTGTTTCCTGAAGATCCTTCAAGAAAAGAACATTAATACATAAAGTCATATGATGATGTGAATATGCACTTCTTCTGAGTCCTGGTACACGTTCACTTTTGTCTATAAACATGATCCAGGAAGAGCAAACCTTTTACTTCCATATCCAAAGTTACAGAATTTAACACTGTAAATTCTCAGCAAAGAAAGAAAAGTTGAAAAAATAAATCCAGTGAAGTGGGAAGCAGATAAGGATCCAACACAGGAAGTGTAGTGAATGTTAGAAAATATGTCTCAAAGTCAGACTACCCTTTTCCTTGCATCAAAGAACTGTACAAAGACATAAATGTTTGTTTGCTAATATTATTTAAAGCTTGTTCAATGATCCCTTTTTGCTTTTGGGAAGAGCCACATAACTACACTCAAAAGTGCTGACTAGTTTTAGGAGAGTGATTCTACCCCCTTCCTGGTTCAGCTCGCATTTATTCCCTCTGACTTTAGTCTTGATATCCTAGACATATGCAGAAATCCTTCTCCCAAAACTGGCTACAGGTTTCCCGTTAGTGTTTCTGTAGCTTCTGAAATGCCAGTCTACTGCATCTTATGGGGTGTAGTGTGAGATGTGGTAGGAGAAAGAAGTTTCCTCTGGGTCAGATCCCTAGCTTGCTCTGACACATGAGGTGCCATCAGTTGGTCATCTTAACTATCCAGGCTCTGCCGGCTGCTGAGGATTCAGGATTTGATGACAGCCTGGTGACTGCTACTCTCCAGCTGCAGAAGAGCGGTCAGTTGGACTAAAGCAATTAAATCAGTAAGATTCAAAGCATTTAAGATACACACTTCATTTTCAGTCAGGTGTGCCCTAAAGCTTATCTCTAGCCTCTCATCTATTACAGGTCATAACAGTATAAAGCCACTTGGGTCTCTGAAGTGCAGTGCTCCATCAGCAGCTTTATGCAGGTAGTGTGGAGGAAGATGACCAAACCCCTGAGCAGATGGAGCCCATAGCACAGGATGCCTCAGTTTTAATAGTTCAAAAATAACTCTTAGAAGTTGTTGCAAAGAATCTTACTCAGATGCCTCTCAGCATCAGATGTCAGCTGGGCAATGGCCCAACTCCTTTATGTTTCAGGCCCTTGACCTTGTGGAAACCAATTAGGGATCAATAACTCACTCTTAAAGGGAGTGCTCACCTTAAATAGATCTTTACCTGTTGACTTGCAGCTTCAGTGTAATAAGCTGTTTGGATTTTTTACATATCTGAGCCTCCTGTGTCTCTGCCACTCTACAGCCCCTAGGCTTCTCTCTCCTTCCTAACCTCTCCCTTCCAGATAATGGGTACATCTTTTTTCCCGCTAGTACCACCTGGGTCGCTTTTAGGTAATTTAAGTGTACAGAACAGATGCACTACTTCCAAAAGGAGATGGCAGATACTCTTACCAGCTTCATCAATTCTTTCATTCTGCTGATTCATTCTGCAATAACCTGACACAGCACTGGGACCCCTTCAACATTCAGCTACTGCTGGATGGACAGGCACGCAGAACCCCAACTTTGTCCAAAACAAAACTCCTTCCCTATCTTGTCCAAAACACAACACCTTTTCTATGCTGTTTCTCAGCCTTTCCCAATATGAATGCACCAGCTTGAGATCATCTTCTCCTCTGGGAACAGCACACCCACTGAATTGCAATCATACTATGAAATTCTTGTTCCAGAGTACCCACTATATCCAGAGACTGTCTCTGGTTGCCTCTGGACTTTACTTCCTTCTCATTTGGATCCCAAGAGCCAGAAAATGTGAGGTCAGAGTGAAGGAGCATAAGCGCAAGGCTAGGTCACAGCTGGAAGCAGTGACCTTCATTTCCTTTAGGAAATGAAAACTGCCCTTAGCTATCCTTCATACAATCTTTAGGATTTAGTCAGGGAGGTAAAAGGCTAAACTGTAACACTGTTAAGAGTGTTTAGTAAAAATACTGTCAGATGCTTTGACATAGCTGGAGTTACCTACAAGCTGTGCAGACTGCAGCGTTGTTGCTGAATACTGCAGACAATCTGCATACTGGTTCTTAGCTACCCTTTGCTAGCAATGCTCCCCCTGGACCCACATAAAGATACCAATAGCAGTTCATCTCGGGGAAGTCCGGTGCCACTCCTAACTCATGTCAGCGGCAAGATCTGCTTTCTCACTGTGCATGAATGTACTCTTACTAGGCTTTATTTTCATAGTAAACAATTCTGGGAAAGGCTTTCCTATGCCCTCTGCTGGTTTTCCAAGGCACCCAGTTTCAGCTTAGAGTTAAAATCTTCCCGTAAAATACCAGTAGCTTCCATACTTCTCCATTTTCTTCTGATTAAATTGAAGGAAGACATATAGAACAGAATCATATGTACATACATGCCTCCTTCAGCTTCCCTGTGAGTTGGCAAATGACTACCAATTCTTATTTTTGCTTGCTTGCATTTATTTGAGAACTAGACTGTTTGGGAAATTCAGGTAATCCCCGTCTTTTTACAAGCAGCAGGCTCTTTGAGCAAGTGTGCACAGAGAACAGAAGTTTCCTTTGCTTGCCCTTTCACACTGTGGAGAGCAGCAAACTCAGCCTACCTTCAGACTGAACCTTACAGACCCAACGTCATCTGTCATCAGACCAATTATCTCTTTGTAATTCTGCCTTCACTGCCAAGACTCCTTTAACACCTGCCTCTAGGACTTTAGCAACTGTACTAGGTTACGCAAGACTTTTCCAGGATAATTGTACTGTCTTTAATGTAAGTTTTGGATATCCCATGCCTGTTTTCTAAAAGCTCCAGACCAAATAGCAACTGCTCTGATGCTCACTGCTGACTTAGACTGGTATTCAAAGCCGTTTCAGCAGGCTTCAAGTTAAGATTCTGATTAAGAAATCTAACCCTTCTAATTCTACATTTTTGTGGCATTTCATTTTGCTCCATGCGTAAAGACAATCTAACTTGTCCATGAGTATAAGACCCTTTGATAGTAATCTCTAACTCCAAAGAATGAGATACAAGCAGTTCAAGGGCTAGATGTTGAAGCCTGACAAATACAAGTAGGATATACCCTCGGTGCCAGAAATCCATGCCATAACTGCAAGTTGGGCCAGGCTATAAGTATAATAAAGGATACAATGCCTTAAAATCCACATAGTTTCAGTCACATAATTAAGACTAGATCTCCTTCTAACTTTGACAGTAAAGCCAAATAACCCAAACAAAACCCACTAGAAAAAAACTGAAATGTGAACATACACAGGATGCACCTCCATTGTGAAATGATTGCTTTCCTAAGAGTCCCATAAATATCCTGCTCTTTCAGAAGCGCTGATATGCCAACAATACTACTTTTCCTGAATTTACTTCTTAAGAAGACCTTAGTGGATTATTTTAAGAAGCCAAAATACAATGTTAACTGGCAAAGTCTCCTCCTGTCATTCCCATCGATATTATGCACACCCCGTTCACAAGAGAGGCAGAAAAATTTATATAAAAGTCATGCCAATGAAAGTCACTACCAGGGAATCCAGAGTCATCCTAAAATGCAGCAGTGCAATCTGACTGTAACCACTTGCAAATGCCTTAATGATGAATGCATAGCCAAGCAAACAGCAATTTGCCTGTGGCATCATACACTCACAGTGTTCAGCATGCTACAGCTAGGGGCTTCATGAGCAAGTCTACGCCTTTTTGTGTGTCACCTCCTTACATGAGGTCAGAGGAACTGGTAAGGTCATGGAAGCTTTTAAACACATACAACACCAGGACCAACACCAGAGCTGCTGCCTCAGCTGTTTAACAGGCAGATTTTGTCTACACCTGCCTGTAACAGTTCACCTACTTCAGTGGGAAACCATGCCTCCATTCTAGCCAATACATGTCTCCTGGGGTCACCTTCCTCCAGCAAGACCATATGAAACACCAGTACTCGATAGGAGCAACCAAAGCTGAAATCAACAGTAAATTTAGAGTTTTAATCAGCAAATCTTTAAAAGATCTGAAATTTTGACTGACATTGATCTAGATGTTATGGTACTTTTGAGCAGATTTTAGGTAGAAAAATTGAGTAAATTCAATATAAAACAACTTCATTGTAAATTATTAATCCAGCCCTGAGATGGAGCATTAAGCAAGTACAGTCAAATTCTGAGGACAGTATTAATCCTGGAGTTCTATTTTTCATCAGTGCATTTCTTCAACCAATTACCACTTAACCATCCCACAATCTCAAGTTTTCACCTCTTTAGTGCCAATTAGATAGTCCAAAACACCCAGCTAACTTACATATGGTACTACCAGTGAAAACATTCAACACACTGCATCTCAGCCTCCCAGGCCTAGGATCTTCCCTTGGCATTTTGCAGAACTGGAAAATGAAGATATTCAGACAAATGACAATGTCAACTGCCCCACAGTTAACAGCTGGGACTACTTTGCCACATATCTCATTTAAGATATTTTATTTTTTAAGTTAAGCCAACCTTCATCTCACCGGAAGAGACAAGCTCCCTGCTCTTCCCATAAACAGGAAGGCACACCAGCGTACACATCCCATTTGATAAGTACCGAGTCCATTTTAGCAACAGAATCCTGAAGCCAGAAGCCATTAAATCCCTCTTTCCAGAAAACAGCTGCATGCAGCTCTCTTGGGAACTCAGAATCTCACTTGCACTCGGAAGTGCATCTGCTTTGTAGCATTGTTACTCATTCCTGTCTTGAGCAACCACTTCGACTTCATCCTCTGCAGGTACTGCATATCACGCTGCTGAGCATAGGCTGCCCCTTCAGGGAGAGAGGAGGAAGAGAAAGATGGGTAAGTGTAAGCAACTTCTATGCAAACCAGCACATCTGTCCATTTACAGCAGCAGTCAGCTATATGTTTTCCTTCCCCTACTGGCATGTTTCTTTTCACTTTTCTCTTGGGCAAAGTAAGTTCCCTCTATGAATATTCACAACTGTGATTAAAGGAAAAGGTTGTTTTGCATTCCAGTACTGGTATAGGTGGGTGTGATTCTTCTGTTTCAAAAGTGGATATAGACCACATCACTGCTCCCCAATCGGAAAAGTATCCTACTGTCAAAGAAAGACTGGTTCATGTTAACATTATTAAATAGCAAGAGCAGTGGTTTTGATGGCAGAAACTAACAAATCTTACGAAGTCACCAAATACCAAAACACACATGCTAATGCACTGAAACGCTTGCACAGAAGTTGCAATGGATTTTAGATGCATACAGCTTCCTCTAACTTATTCTGTTTGGATGTCAGGAATGAAAGGGAACTAAATATAAGGGAACTAAATATAAGGGATACTGCATAAAACCTCAAATTAACCTATTTAATTGCAGAGTGATGACTCCCTACAACTTCTTCCTCTGCAAAAACCCCACATTGTCACTCACCTGTCTGACTTGTCCAGCCCAAAGCTCTGTACTGCTGCAACACCCGACCCACTGTTTTCTTGTGGTTTGCTACAGTCACTGCTCTTGACAGACCAAATCGTTGCTTGTAGTATCTCATTAAAGAACGATGACCCACTCTTGCACCTGCTCAGAGGAGGGGACATCTTATTATGTATAACGAAGCAGCTTCTGAAATGTAGGACTCAGCATATTATGAAAACTGTAGAAAATACCTGTGCTGAGAAATGCTTTTAAAAATTCTTAAAAGCTTTAGGACTATTAGGAACTTAATGTAATTACCGTAAGAGCTGCCATACTGCACTCTATCTTGAAGAAACAAAACCAAACAATGATGATGTTCAAGACGGCCTTAGCTACAAACAGGAAGCTATCAGAAAACTGTATTTTAATTAGGAGAAGGAGCATACTGGCAATGCTGTTTCAAAGTAACCAGGGAAGTAACTTGCTGACATTCAGGAAGTCTTCTGTAACTACATAGTTGGCAGCACTTTTCAGAATGAAAGGACTGAGGTCCCATCATACAAAACCCACCAAACCAACCAACCAAATATAAGTAAGCAAAAAAGCCAAATGCTACACAAGGCAAGAGAAAGGTTTCTGAAAAAAAAAAAAATAATTTTTCTGAACTAGTTTACTAAATTAGTTATCAGCTGCGTCCCTGAAAAATACCTACACTAGATAACTTCAGTTAGAGCTTCTCCAAGTTGCACTGAAACAAGACACAGAAATGCTGGGAGTACACCATGAGAGTCACATGTCAATGAAGATGTAAAGTGAGCAAAGGAACCCCCCCTGCCTCAGTCCACATACACATTAATGCTGAGAAAGCTGAACTACTTGGTAATGGAAACAATGAAAGATGAGGACAAAACCCCAAAGACAAATGCAAAATTACTTTCTCTCAACAAAGGAAAAAACAGTGACCTATGCTGCAGGAAAAAGCTGCAGCTGTAAGAAGTGTAGAAAGTACATTTTAACACAAATACTATGCCTGAACTACCTGAAGGAAGGATCAGCTCCATGGTGTCATCATCATAATCCAACTCTCTCTCTGTTGGGCACTCTCCAGGCACCTCCACATCTTCCCCATCCTTGTGATCGGGGTAACTGCTCCTGTGGAAGAGTAGCAGTACATTGTTTGTACATGGTGAGCAGCCACAACTACCCAGAACCACTACACAGAATTGCCACACAGCTGCAGCAAGCAACAGATACCGTTAAGTTTCACTTATCTTAGTCTGAGAGCACTTTCCAGCACCACCCTACCCTGAACACAGGGTGAAGACAAAGTCCACCCATCCTTCACCTGGTTCTATGTGCAGAACTCAGCATGGTTCTGCTGCTGCACACTTAACAGCACATTAGGCTGAAAAGCCACCACTGTGCAGCCCACCTGCTCTGCACAACCATTAAATGAGTGCTCCAAGAAGCTCCACTAAATCTGTTACCATAATAGGAGGTATTTCTGACCAAAATGAACACAGCTTAGGATATGCTATGGGAAGCTGAACAAAAAGCCTTTAAATATCAGCAGTCCTGTTTAACTCTGGCTATTAAAAAAATCCATAGTACATATTAAGTCCATAATCTGCCTAAAACGCAAGAGACAGTTACACCCTTTTATGGTCTTTGCTGCTGAACTGAAATCTAAACTCAGTAACAGCAAACATACAAAACAGAATTTGAAATATATTTTCATGTAGAACTGGCATTAGTGGTCACAGGAGAGGATAAGCAATCATCATGTAATGCTTACCTAGAAAAGTGATGAACCAGCTATGCAAAATAAGCATCAGAACAAGAAACAGGATGAAATTTTAAGAATTAATAATAGTTTCTGATGTAATATTCAGCTGTCCTTTCGTCTGTCCCAGTCTGTGCTCCACTCAAAGAAAGGCTTTCTCACCTAAAATCATAGAAGTCTGCAAATTCCAGGGCAGCATCTCCATCTGTGAAGAGTTTGCAGTGGCTTTTATCATTCATGTGAGCCTGTACTGCTTCTGTAGAGTAGAAGGATTTCCCTTTTTCATTGCACCAGATGCAGATTTTCCCAATGCCAACTTTCTCTCCTGTAGAAAACATTAACACTTCTATTGGTCTGAACAGAGCCTCCCTTGTCAATAATTAACATTACTGTAGTGTAGCTTCCCAGCTTGCAGACAGACAGACTGAGCAAGAGCCTTGAGCCCTTCATTTCTACAACAACCCCGCTGTTCCTATGCCTTGACCATATGGCTCCATCAAGGACAAATCTGTGCATTTAAAGGTTCCTTATGACAAGGTATTGATCAAGATGTATTCTCACCAACAAATTTCATATTTCCAACAGTTTTCCATCTAATACTACAAAATTCTTTTACTCTCCATTATACGTAAGCTTCAAGGAAGATACATTTTTTTTATGGCTTTTAGGTCACTTACAATGAGGCAAATACTTGTGACCCATTAGTAGTTTATGTGCACACTTCAGTAACAGAGTTTTGTCCTAGATTACATGTGGTTGGACAGCTTTCTCAGCATTAGAAAACCGATACAGGTACAAGACCACGTTTGCTTAGTGAGGTTTTCTCTTACTCTCCCCAAAAGACTGTGGTCTTGTTCATGATCAAAATACTGGACAGCACTCAGATTTTTACACTAAAAAAAAAAAACCACCCAAAACTTTTAAAGTCATATCCAAGTGAAAGTAAGCAATAAAGAAATTGGAGAACATTTGCAGGCATACCCAGGTACTTGATTAGTCCTCTGAGATCCACAAGGTACTCTATATCTGGAATGAAGAAACTATGAGCTTTTGTCATATGTGCCACATTTTTTGTGAGAGATCTGGAATGGTGGGGACAGAATAAGCAGTCTGTGACTGGTATGGCCCCAGCAGCAGGAGTGCTTTCAGCTTCTGCCTGTCTCTCCTCTTCTCCTCCCACACTTTCCATCTCTTCTTCAGAACCAATCTCTTCATCAGAATCCATATCTTCCCAGTCTTTAAAAGGAAGTTTTAAAACAAAATTATTTATATGATTACTTGTCCCAAGCAAAAGGAGTTCCAATTAATCTAGAAAAAGTTATCACAGAAAATACTGCATTTTCTATTCTTACGGTTAAGTGCCACACAGTCACTTCCAGGTGCAAGAATAAACAACTGCCAGTAAAACATCATTTCTTGTAAGATGCATATCAAAGATTAAGTCTGCTCATAAAAAAAGCTGGCAATTCTAGTATTTTTTCCCCTCCATTTTCTTGACTATTAACACTTTACTGCTGTTATGAAGCCTTAAATTTAATTCACCACAGCACAAGAATGCAAGCATGGCTCATTAAAAACAATACAACTCTGCCAGAATCATGCAAATACTCATTTCCAGAAGTGAGGGGAACCACACTCCTGTTCACACACACACCTTTAACAACAAAGAACAAAGCCAGCTGCCACAGACAAACTATATGTTAGTATACACCAAGATATACTAACAATTTTACACAATTGCAAGATTACTGCAGAGCTGATTAAGGATAAACAAACCAGCAATCTGATTATAGTTCCAGAGGGGTCTAGAAATCTGGTTTAAGGAGTTCAGACGTGGGGCAGTGAGCATTTTGCAGTACTCTATTCCTACTGGTCCCCTTTCGACTGCTATGTGCACAGTGTCTGTGAACACGGAACATGGTGCTCCCCAGTGGTGTAGGATGATAATTAGAGAACTTTGCTATAGGAAATAGCTCAGTAATTTTAAAAGACTCACACTGAATTAACAGGACTTGCAGGAAACATTCCTGGACAAACACTTAAAAGGAAAAAATTAACATTCAGAAAACTACCAGGATTTTAGCATTACAGTTTATGACTAACATGTTAATACAAAACAGGTGCAAGTTGGCTCCTTCTTTAGATGTTAAAAAGCATGTTCAGAGGTATATGTTTCTACTTCTGTAGAACAGATTCCCTGAACTGCAACTCAAATTTCACCAGCACAAAACTGCTGTAACAGATGTAATAACATGACACAATGGTTTCAGTAATGGAGCTGGAGTAGTATGGTCCCACTCCATTCACGCCTGCCCCCTTGCTGCAGCTTAATCACCCCACTGGGCTGCTCAGACAGATGCATTTGGAGCTGCACTGTAAATTACAGCACTGAAAGCATCCAGGTTACAAATAAGCCTTTTCTGGGAAATCTTAAGCTCTGATCTTTTCAGTTGTCTCCTTTCTAGGCTGACCTCCAACAACGACCTGTCTCCACACAAGTGGTGAGGGAAAAGCAGCAGGAAAAGGCAGTTGGGGTGGCAACTCCTGAACCAGTTTTAATACAGATGCTGACATGCTAAGAAGCTATGCCACACAGCGTAAGGCAGACCTACTCCACTGGTCTTGATAGGCAGAGAAAAGCAAAATCTGCCCCACCTCCTTCAACAGATCAATGAAGTGATTGGTGGGACAACAGCAAATGATCATGATTGGATTTTTGTTCATCTATTTTTCAGAAGTAGTTTTAGGGTAACCTTTTATGTTAGCCTTCCTTAAATGAAACTGCCCCTGGATTCTCACATGGGAAACAGTGCTCAGGTTAGTAACTGCTTATATTCAACCTTCACAAGCATTAATATCTTGACAGCTGGCAGTTCAGACACTGACACAGAGTCCTTGACAGCAACCATGGGCCAACCTTAACTCCTTTGTTAATTTACTGAACAGGAAGACCTTTTGTGATGGAAAATGCTGTACTACTGGAAAAATATACAGAGGTTTTTATGCAGAATTTTTTAACCCAAGCTATCTATTGTCAGAATGTTTGCTGCCTTACCTTCTTCCGTATCCTCTTCCTCCTCTGCCTGTTGTTTGGCCAGCTTCTTCGCTTGCTGTTCAAACCACTGTAGCCGTGGAGGTTTTTCCGATCGTTCTCTACTCTGTGATAAGCTGGCACTTACCATAGAAACAGGAGAGCTACTTGCATCACTACGAGGCAAAGGCATCTTCTTTGGAGAGGAAGACGGCTGAGCTCTGATGGCTTGCTGAATAGCTGCATTCATTTCATCTTTGTTTACACTCTCTGGAGCCAGCCCCTTTTCCAGGTTCTTTTCATTTAGTATTTTCACCTTCTTGCTGACAGCTTGGACAGCTTTCTTCTCCAACTCTAAGTGCTTCTTGGACTTCAAGTGATTCTCATAGGTATTGAAGGTGGAGAATCTCTTGCTGCAAACTGTGCAGTAAGTGGCAGTGATTTTGTTCTGCTCCTCTGCCACTGCTCTCTGCGCTAGGACTCTCTCTTCAAAGTTCTCAGCTGTGACAGGAGGCATGTCAGCAACCTTACGCTTCAGGTTATATCTATGCCAGTCGGTTTTGTAATGGGCACGCTGAATGTCCGCATCCTTGAAAGCCACACGGCAAGTGATGCAAGTGTAGGTTGCCATTACTAGAAACAGGGGGAAAAAAATAATAATCATGGCAACAAAGGCAAGTAACAGTTGCAAAAAACCCCAAACACAACATGCTGGCAGCACCCATGTAAGGCAGCACAAGTATATACAGTTCTTGTACAGAGTTAAATTTATTAGACAACTACTCTGCTGTCCTGAGATCCCACTTGGAGTGCTGTGTACAGTTCCGGTGTCCTCAATATAAAAAGGCCATGGAACTGTTGGAACAAGTCCAGAGAAGGGCCACGAGGACGACCAGAGGACTGGAGCACCTCCCGTATGAAGATGGGCTGAGAAAGTTGGGGCTGTTCAGCCTGGAGAAGAGAAGGAGCCTTCCAGTAACTGAAGGGGGCCTATAAGGATGCTGGAGAGGGACTCTTCATTAGGGACTGTAGTGATAAGACATGGGATAATGGGTTCAAACTTAAACAGGGGAAGTTTAGATTGGATATAAGGAGGAAGTTCTTTAATGTGAAGGTGGTGGGGCACTGGAATGGGTTGCCCAAGGAAGTTGTGAATGTTTCACCCCGGCAGTGTTCAAGGCCAGGTTGGACAGAGTGCGAGGTGTCCCTGCCTGTGGCAGGGAGGTTAGAACTAGATGATCTTAAGGTCCTTTCCAACCCTAACTATTGTATGGTTCTATGATTACCAGTGATGACCAATCAGCATGTTACGTACTGAAACCAGGACAAGGGAAGAAAAAAGAAAAAGACTTTGATACAGTTATCAGGGATTAGTCATACCACAGCAGCTGCAAGACGATCCCAGCTCTGGACTTAGCACCCACTGTGCTCATCCAGGTTAAGACACAGGATGAGAGGGTTCCCAGCCTTGCCAGCAGTGCTTCAAAAGCTCTGCACTTTTTACTGAGAATGAGAAACTAATGTTTCTTATCAAGCTTCTGTTCTGCCAATTATAGGATTTTGAAGAGACCAGTGACTGCTCCAGAACAAGGGTAAAAATGGGAAAACATGCTTTCATGCCCACTTCCCATTTTCTGCAGCCTAATCAGATGGGAAAAAAGGTATCACATTTAAAAATACAACCCTTTCAGCTATTTCAGTACAGTGCACGTTCCGTTAACAAAACTTCACACTGCAGAACTGTTAATCTGGAAATACGGTCAGCTGTGCCTACATGTAGTGCCTGAAGCCACTCCCACTCCTGGTATTCCTCCACTTCCCACCATTCATCTCAGCTGTGCTACTTTGGCTGTCAAAGGAGAGCTGGAGGGCAGTGGCCTGTGTCTGATGCTGTCTTTTCCAAACCCACAAGTTTCCTTCCTTCCTTTTCAGTGCTTAATGAAACTTGACCTTTTCTTCCTTTTAAACAAAGTTGGTGGAATCTCTTGAACACTCTGAAGGCAAAGAGCAAAAAACCACATTCTAACTGGAGATAACTAAAGCCACCCCATCCTTAAAGTGATTTAGAAAAATTGTGTTTTAATCTGAAAAAAAAACCAAACCCAGCTAATAAATCAGGAGGAGGAGGTCTGAAAGCAGGCAGAGGAATGGCAGCCCTCCAAGAACAGGGAGAAGCAGCAATTAAAGACACAAATATGCAGGATTGAAAGGTACCTTATGAAACGCTTGCTCCCTGGACGAACTGGACTTCACTGCTGCGCTATCCGTAATCCTATGGTGACAAAGAACACATTAACAGAAAATAAAAGCCAAGATATTTTATTTGAAATAGTGTTACTCATCCTTCCAGTGTAACAGATGCAATTTGTTTCAGAGGAAAATATATTCTCTGCCTTCCAAAGGATCCCGACTGCTCCTTGAAGCACTCTCCTCCCACCAGCAGAGCTCCCTATCCCTTTCCCAGTCCAAGCAGGTATTTTACTGCCATAAATCAATGGACACGGAATTATGCTGTTTATCACAAAATCCTTACAGAAACCTCAGGGACAGAACAGTCTGGTCTATTTTGGCAGGGAGCTGAAACTAGCTGATCTTAAGGTCCTCTCCAACCCAAACCATGACTACATTTTATGACTACAGGCAGACAGCTGCTACACACTAGATTACCCTGAGGTTAACTGAAAATAAGGAAACCCAAAACAGGCCAGAAAAGGTATGTAACTGAGAGGATCTAAACGCATAAACCTCCATGTCTGATTACTGAGTGGAGAAATAACGTTTACCACTCCAGCTGCGTAAAGCAGAAAAAGGCCCTGCACAGCCCCGCGAGGTTTCGCCAGCTCTGCCCCTTATTCCGGGATATTCTCACCCACAAACCCAAAGCACTGAGGCTCAAGAAAACAAGGCCCGAGGCACTCACAAGTCCTCAGCCCCAGGCTGGTTCTCCCCACAGGGCCTTTACGACGCCTCCTTTTAGTCGCTTTTATGTGAATCTGAATTGATCCGGTGTCCATAAGACTGACACAAGACAGGCCGGAGCTGACCAGCCGGACACGAAAACTGACCGCACTGCTTACACCCGGGGAGCCATGAACGACTGAAATAAACTAAACCAAAGCAGCACGGAGCCTGCCGCTGCCGCCAGACGTGACCCGAACCAGCACCACAAAGGGGATCCGCCTCACGGGAGCCCGATCCGCACCCCCGGCCCACCCGCTGCAGCTGGGACAGGGCCTCGCCCTTCCCCCGCCACTCCTGATAGAGCGGAGGTGGGCCGGGCCGGGCAGGGCCGAGCCGAGCCGAACCGAACCGAACCGCCTCCCCGCGGCCCCTCCCGCCCCCCAGCCCCACGGGATCCCCACCTGCCACCCGCAGGGGGAAAGGCCCCTGCGTGCCACTACCACCGGAGCAGGAACACGCCACGCTCTCCCACGCAGATGAACAAGGCCCCCTTCTTCCGGCAAGGAAACCCCGCCCCGCGCCGCTGCCGCCCCCTACCGCCGCGGAGGCCCCACGGCCCGCCATACTGCCCTCTGCGCCGCCACAGGGAGATGGCGGTGCCGTTGGGGGGCCCTGTGCCGCTCCTGCCGCCGGTACTGTCCGGCTGTAAACAGCTCTCCTGCAGCCTGGCTCCAGGAGAATCAGCGGGGTTGGAGAAGACCATTAAGATCATCAAGTCCAACCATTATCCCAGGACTGCCAAGATCACCACTGAACCATGTCACTGCGTGCCTCACATACGCGGTTTTTGAACGCTTCCAGGGACGGTGATTCCACCACTTCCCTGGACAGCCTGTTCCAATGCCTGATCACCCTCTCTGTGAAGAAATTTTTCCTAATATCCAGTCTAAACCTCCCCTGGTGCAGCTTGAGGCCACTATCCCTTGTCCTATTACTTATTACCTGGGAGAAGAGACTGACCCCCACCTCACTACAGCCTCCTTGCAGGCAGTTGTACAGAGTGGTAAGGTCCCCCATGACCCTCTTTTTCTCTGGACTGAACAACCCCAGTTCCCTTGGCTGCTCCTCCTCACACTTGGGCTCCAGACCCTTCAACAGCTCCGTTGCCCTTCTCTGGACCCACTCCAGCACCTCAGTGCCTCTCTTGCAGTGAGGGGCCCCAGAACTGAGCACAGGATTCAAGGTGCGGCCTCACCAGCGCCGAGTACAGGGGGATGGATGATCACTGCCCTGGCCCTGCTGGCCACACTGTTTCTGATACAGGCCAGGATGCTGTTGGCCTTCTTGGCTGCCCGGGCACAGGCTGGCTCATGTTCAGTGGCCGTCAGTCAGCACCTCAGGTCCTTTTCCTTTACATAATACTGTGTAACGTTGTCAGACAGGTTCGGGGGTGTGAGCCCAGGTCAGGCTGAAAACACACATCAGCAGAACCCTGCTAAGGGGGTCTGGTGTTGTCCTTGTGGGGTTTGGTCATGTTTTTTTCCTACTTTGGGAACAAACATACAATTCAACAGGATGAAAGATAGAAACTAACATTTATTAAATGGTTTTACAAACAATCAATATAATAATTTCATGTTTACAAAATAGTAATCAGGCTAGGTAAAGTGCTGCAAAATACTTTAAATAAAGACATTTTTGTAATTTTCCAGTTTCTGGTTACCTGGACAGGTGCTACTCACAGACTGTTGACGCTGCTTGTATGCTGAGAACAGACAAGGAGACTACAGGGAAATTGTTCAGAAGGCTTAGACAGCCTGGGAAAAGTGCAAAACGGGCAAAACCCAAGTAAAACGAGTATTTCTTCAGATCCTATTACTTTGGGTTAGCATGATCTCCCCTCCTCTGCATGGAATATGTTTTTTCCTCCGAACAAACTGAAGAACAGTAAATAGTTGTGTAATACCTATACACAGAAAGCTGTGTGTGCCGAAAACAGGTGCCTTTATTCTGGATTTGGCACAGTGAAAGCCACCCACTGGCCAAAAGGATATCCCTCTGTCACTCAGACGTACTAACACAAGGGGAAATTTCATGAGTACTAAGGACTGAACTGCATCCCACAGACACACACTCCTGACACACAGTGTGAGGAAGCCACTGCATGGCACGGGAGGGGGAGCACTTCAACCCCACTACTGCAGAAATACATGGCTTCCTCCATTTACTGCTAGGTGAGAGCACAGCAGGCTACACAAGCAGTACTGATTCAATAGCAAGATCATACTCTGTTATCCCATGCTCATATGTCCACACCCTAATCTATGCCCTCTTGCTGCCTGTGCTGCCTTTTGACTGAAAATGGCACACCAGCAGGCTTTCCATGGAACAGAAGCATATTTCAAAGCTCACTTGCCTTTCTTCTTGCCTGTGTATTCAGTTTTGGAAGATGAGAAGGTGATGACAGTGCTCGGTAGAAAAGATGCTGTGGACCACTGTGACAGGGCCATTTTGTGGCAGCTGCTAGCATACATCAAGGTGAAGGTGTCTTGAGGGATTTCCAACTGGGCAGTGTGCAAGGGATCTCAGAAAGGAGAGAAATATTTTGTGTTTTTTGCTGTCAAACTGCTGTCATTGGAATGTATTGTGTCCAAGCAAAGTATTTCTTATGTGTGCTTCTTTGGGAGAAAAGAGGTGATTTCCTGCAGAATATTAAACACCCTTCCACTAGCTGAGGAAGAATACTAAATGTTACAGTATTAGCTCATT